AATATAATAAACACCCTTGCTTGTTTTGGATTTCCCAGGTAATCAAGGTTTACAACCTAAGATAATACATAGCTGTAATCTTATCGACTCTTCCATGCCTCTGATCCGAGAGTAATGCATAGTGTTTGCATGTGTGTTATTCTATCATTTGCTGGAAACAACAAATAGGCTGGGAGTAGCCTTATAAATTAATATCCACCATAAATGATGAAAGCAGTCCATGTATATTGCTTGATAAACAATGATTTTTGTGATACTGTGTGTTATCTGAGTCAGTTGGAACCAGTGACTTCATCCCTTATAAAGTCCTGTTCAAGATTTCTATAAAGTATCTCTCATTCCTTCCCCATGTGATGATGTCTGTGCTGTTCAATAAAAGAGGGAGCCAAGCCCTTAGTTAGGGACAGACATACACACAGACACATTCACGTAGACAGACACAAGGACAGATCGACAAGTCAGCGTTCAGGCCCACACAGATTTGGATTTATACAGCAGACAGACAGGGAAGGAGAGAAGACACAGGAAATCGAGGCAGAGAACTCAAATCGGGGCTCACTCTTGGTTAAATGACTCCAAGGAGCAAGGCTGTGCTTTCTTTCCGTTGGTGACTCAGAGGTTATTATTAATGTGCTTAATCTGCTCAACATGTCAGCATCATTAAGCGGTTGACCACCATGGTTTTTGATGTTCTTCCATTTATGGCTTGTGTTGGACATTCATTGAGTTTCTTTGCTCTATGGGTTTACAGTTTTCAGCTGATTCATACACTTTCAAACATTGTTATTCAAGTATTTATCCCTTCACGCCCTCCTCCAGGAACTTTACTTGTACAGACATTAGCCTAGTAAAGTTGTATTGCCCCTTTTCTGGTGTTCTGTTTATTTTGTTCTTCTGCCTCTTTCTCTCTAGGTTTCATTTTGCATGGTCTCTATTCAGGTTCACTCACATTTTCTTCCTCAGTTTCCAGTCTGCTGTTAAGTTCATGCAATGCATTTTCATCTCAAGCACAGTAATTACATCTAGAATTTTATTTTACTTTATTGTATGTATGATGTAGGCATGGGTAGGCGTGCACATGTATGTGTATAAAAGTGGAGCAGAGGTTGACGTCTGACAGAGGTTGATGCATGAGTCCTCTATTGCTCTCCACCTTACTGACTTTTGTAATTTTCCTTTTTAAATTACATCTATCTATCTATCTATCTATCTATCTATCTATCTATCATCTACCTATCGATCTATCATCTATCTATCTATCTATCTATCTATCTATCTAACTAACAAAGAGAACAATACAAAGAATCAATGGAACGAGTGGTTCTTTGAAAAAATCAACAAGATAGACAAACCCCTATCCAAATTAACCAAAAGGAAAGAGAGAGCATGAAAATTAACAAAATCAGAAATGAAAAGGGAAACATAACAACAGACAATGAGGAAATCCAGAGAATCATCAGGTCATACTTCAAAAACCTGTACTCCACAAAATTAGAAAAATCTGAAAAAAAAAAAAAAAACAGATAATTTTCTGGATAGGTACCACATACCAAAGTTAAACAAGACTAGATAAATTAAATAGACCAACAACCCCCTAAGGAAATAGAAACAGTCATTAAAAGTCTCCCAACCAAAAAAAAAGCCCAGGACGATGGTTTCAGCACAGAATTCTACCAGATTTTCAAAGAGGAAATTTTCCTTTTTAATATCTATCTATCTATCTAATCTAATCTATCTATCTATCTATCTATCTATCTATCTATCTATCTATCTATCTATCTATCTATCTATCTATCTATTGTGTGTGTGTGTATATGTGTGCAAACATGTGCTGTGTACATGGGGATAGTATTGTGTGGCATGGTGTGTATGTGGAGGTCAGAAGCCACCTTATAGAGGTTGGCTCTCAGCTTTACTCAGTTGCCTCTGTTCTGCTTTTCCCTGTCCCGTTGGACACGTTCATTGGTGCCATCTTGGTTCAGCTCCCGTTTGGGCACTCATGTTGGTGAGATTTTATGTGTGGAGCTTCAGATGTTACTAGGAGGCACAGTTCACAGCAAGCTCCCTGATGCCCTGAGTCTTACAGTCTTCCCACCTCTTCTCCCACAGGTTCCCTGAGCCTTAGGTGCATGAGTATTTTGTAGATGCATCTCCCAGTGGGACTGAACCGCAGCTCTGCATTTTGATTGGTTGTGGTTTTCTACAGTAGTCTCTTTCTGTTGCAAAGAGAAGTTTCCTTGATGAGTCCTGGAGTTTTTCCAGAGGCCTGCCCTGAGAAAATCCTTCCCAGAGTCCTGGGGAAGATGCTACGTCTGGTGTGGGGTTATCTGAGGGAAAAGAATCCATGTACACCATGCTTTTTCACCCACTTACTTTGTCTACAACAAACTTCTATCTACACAGCGTCAGTTTCGTTCTGACACTCAGCTCCTCTCTGTCCCTTCTTTTTCTGTCCTTTCAAGCCCTAGTAATAACTAAGCTCTTAGGCTCTCCATCTCATCTTCGTCCTCTGTTCCTACTTCCTCCATCTTTCCTTCCCTTCCTCCTCTCCTGACCTGATTCCAATCCACCCACAGTCTGCAATCCTTTTCCTTGCTCCTTGGTCCAAGCCAGTCTGCCTTCTCATCTACAGAAACTCTGCCTTGTTCTCTTCTCTCTGGCCACACAACTCTGACCAGACCAAAAATTCTGCTTCAGTCTTCACTGCACCTGGTTATGCAGAAAACTCTTGTCTTGAGTCACTAGCTCGGAAATACCACTAGGCCTGAAGGAATGGGATGGTCTGAGCTTCATTTGCACAAGAAACAAAGCTATACATCTACAGTCTGCCTGTCTCCTAGGCTCTGTAGGAGTGTTACCCAGTAGACCAGCAGTAGGTCTAAGAAAGCTTATACTGTTTGCCATATGGCCTAGTAGTATATGAGCACACAAGAAATTCATAGCAGAAGACAGCTGATATATTAAAAGCTGAATAACACCAAATATTCCCTGATAAATGGCTTCCCTCTAGAAAAATTCCTTGACCTTTCTAGGTATAGCTTTATTATATACAGCTGAATCTCTATAATATATTCTTGTGGCTTGCAGTAGATGAGGGTGAAGACTACACTTATTTGTGGGTATGAAGAGAATGCTTATAGATTGTTGTTAAGGTTTACACTGGGTTAGTAAATTAGTGGTTGTAAGTTCTCCTCCAATAATCATGATTTCACCAGCTCTGACTAGTTAGCTAGGTTTCCATTACCAGGCATGGCATCCCTCTTGTTGAGCGCATCTTAAGTTCAGTTAGAGAGCTGCTGTTTTCCACAGAGGTATGTGCTCTATCACTGAACCTACAGGGTTATTGGGCCATGTTGGTCACTGATGTGGTTCAGAGGCATAATAGCTGGGCAGGACTGTGGGCTTCCTCCATTCAGAAGCTTTCATAGCTCCTCTGATACCATGAAAGCTACTCCTCAGGGAGGGGGCACTCAGGGCAGTTTCAATTCAAGGTTCTCTGGGCCCTGTTTCGAAAGGGCATAGTGTCTTTGGCAATAGGGACTTACCTTCCACCTCTGGGGGTAACCAATGGCAACAGGAGGAGGCTGTTGTGCTTTGGGAAATCTCTTAGACAGTCCTGGGCTTCTCATGTCTGGTAGTGGGGTTTTCGTTAGGTGGTCTTTGGCTCTTGGAGGGAGCATTGCCAGCTCAGATGAAAAAAGTTCATTAAGACTATTTATGTATATTTATATACTGAATTACATGCATTCTAATTTTTTAGACAATAGTATAAGTCCTTGTTTCTTTTTCAGACATTCTTATTATTATTTTACCCATGTCCCTCTTTCTCCTGTATTTACCTCCCTCTTCTCCCCTAAGGATATAACACACACACACACACACACACACACACACACCTTCCCCTTCACCCTCTGTCCCCCTCCCTCTGTATTCCACCTCCCACCTTCCTCCACACCCCTAAGGAGCCTCCGTTGCCCATCTGTTTTTAACATTTCTATATACTAATTTTATTGTCTGTAGATTTCTAAGCCTAATTTTATTGATTGGTTGCATTCTTCATTATGGCTCATATTTTCCTTACCTACTCTTTATATTTTCATAATTTTAAGTTAAACACTTGACAATGTAAATTTATCTTATGTGCTATATTTTTTTGTATTTCTATAAATTTTTTTTTTTAGCTTTATTCTTAAATGCAGCTAAGTCTCTTACAAACAGTTTGATCTTTCATATGTTTAGGCTTTGCGATAAGGGCCAGAATCCACTTCCATCTGGAGCTAATGTTTCCCCACTTCTAAGAGGTCCATGAATGCTAGGATTTTTCATTCTGTTCAGCACAGACTTAAACTATTCCTGTCTCCATGTGAGCTTTGAAAACTGGTGCCTCTCTCACAGCATGTGGTTCTGTTAGTCACAGGCACTGACTGGCACTCTGCTGAACGCTGAGCGTGTGGGGTGACTCGCAGATTCCTAGCACTATCTCTTTTACCGTACTGCCCCCTCTGGTACTTTGCCCTGCAAACTCTAGCTACCCTTGGCCTGCCTGGACTTTGTTTGTCTCTTCCAAGGAGGAAGACACTCAGGCTTAGCCCTAGTTCTTCCCCCTTGAGATGACCTAGAAACTCTGTGCAGACAGCAAGCTAGGGTGGTGATGGACCTCTGTCAAGGTCACTGCCCCCCACTGCCTGATACCCAATATCCGAGGACTGTTTAGTAGACTTTGCAGATCTGGATTTTAGTTATGGCCGGTAGGAGGGTGTCTTGGGTACTTTTCTGTTGCTGTGATAAAAAAAACACCCTGTCAAAAGCAACTTCAGGGAGAATGGGTTTCATCTGGCTGTCGTTCCAGCGGGACACAGTTGGTCATGGTAAGGAAGCCATGGCAATAGGGAGAGAAGGAACGGTAGCAGCAGAGAGAGGCTGGCTGGTCATGATCCACCCACACCGAGGAAGCAAAGGGTGGACAGGAAATGGAGCTGGGCTGCAAAGCCTCAGAGTCTGCTTTCAGTGATAACACTCTCCACAGCAAGACTCCATCTCCTCTTGCAGAACAACCTTCCCACCAGGGTATCAGCTAAATAGGAAGGGTTCAAATACAGGAGCCTAGAGTGACATTTCACATTCAAACTGCAACATTCCACCTCTTACCCCGATACCTGTAACCCTTTCTTGTTGCAAAATGCATCTTGTCCAACTTCCAAAGAGATAAGTAAAAATCCCTCAGTAGTGACTAACTCCACCGATGCAGTAAGTCAGATCAGAGCGAATAAATAAATCCAGGTTTAATCTGAGCAAAACATTCTCAGGTTGTCCCTGGAAAGAGGAAAAGCCACCAGGAGAAACCTTGGGGGAGGGGGTGGAGCGGGTGGGGGAGGGGAGTCTATGGGCCAGACCTCCGGGGGTGGAGCCGCTCCTTGGCCAGCTTTCTCTGGGTGGGGTCTGGAGATCGCAGCTCCAGGGAGCTGGGGCTTGGCCCACTGAAGGCGGGGTATGGAATGGGGCCCGGAGCTGGAGATCCCCAACACAAAATCCCAACACCGTTTAAAACTCAAAATTTCCGAGTCTATTCTGAGACACTCTGTAAAATCAAAAACCAAACTGTGGACTTGCAACACACACAGAGTATACATTCACATTCCGAAAAGAAAGAATGAGGTAGCAGGGAAAGATTGGATCAAAGGAAAACCCAAACCTGGTGGAGCAGACACCATACTGTGGTTTCGTGTCTGGCAGCTGAGACTTGGAATGGATGCATCTCTGTTCCAAAGGGCTTAGGCAACTCCGACCCTTCACCGTTGCCGCCTGTAACACAGAGTCTCTCTCTTTCTCTCACTGGCCCCACTTCATGTGTGAGGCTTTCTTGGGTGGACAGCTCATGACACTTACTTCTCTAGTATCCTGGGTCTCCATTGCAACTTAGGCATCACCTTCACAGTATCATGCAGTGGCCTCTCCGGACCTCTGTGCGAGGATTCCAATTCTGCTAAATATATATATATATATATTTGGCTTCAGGTGGCCCAGCTGACAGAGGACACACTGCTACCTGGTACTCCAGCTTGCTGTAGCATGAGGTAAATATCAACAGAGCCATCAGTGATTGGGTGGGCTGTATTCAAGCTCCACTCCCTGAGATTTGCCTGCGGTTACATTTATAAAGAACTAGGAAGTCCCAGAGACCTCCTTCATACATCCATACACATACAGTAAGTGTTGGAGCACCGTGGCAGAGAGGGCTAACTGCCCACTAGTAACTGCTCACTTTCCATACTGTGGAATGGTTTTTGAGAAGTAGCTACCAAGCCAGAGACACAGTTCTTCCCGCCTGCGGCTGCCCTGTGACTGAATGGATAGTTTTCACCAGTGAGATGCATGGGGAGGTATATTGTGTCATTCTTAAGACACAACTTTCAAGATGCAGGTGTACTTCCTTCACACTTTTCTCATTCGATGGCTGAACACTGAGAAGGACAAACGCCTTGGGAATGGTGAGGCCAGACTATGAAGAATCTCAGTTGCTGCAAACCACCGCATAAGTGGAGGATGCATGCTGGAAACCCTTACACTGAATATCCAGGTAAAGAAACAATAGACGCCGGGCGGTGGTGGCGCACACCTTTAATCCCAGCACTCCGGAGGCAGAGCCAGGCGGATCTCTGTGAGTTCGAGGCCAGCCTGGACTACCAAGTGAGTTCCAGGAAAGGCGCAAAGCTACACAGAGAAACCCTGTCTCGGAAAAACCAAAAGAAACAATAGACGTCTTCAGCAGTAAGACTCTATGTTGTTGAGTCAGGCGGTATTACCCAACGGATAAGGAGAATCTCTGTTGGTCAGACACTGTCCTAGGTGCTGAATTCACAATGAGAAATGGAAGAGGCACAGCCCCTGCCCTTGTGAATATTGCTCAGGATTAAACCCCAGGGCGTTATTGCAGGCTAGGCAAGACTCTACCCCTGAGCTATACCCCAGCCCTGGCTTTCCAGTATTAAAAATGAACCAAGAGGGGGCTGGAGAGATGGCTCAGTGGTTAAGAGCACCGACTGCTCTTCCAGAGGACCCAGGTTCAATTCCCAGCACCCACAATGGCAGCTCACAACTGCCTATAACTCCAAGATCTGACACCCTCACACAGACGTACATGCAGGCAAAATGCCAATGCACATAAAAATAAAATAAGTAAATTTTAAAAAATGAACCAAGAAAGATACAAAAGAAATAAGAAAAGAAACAGACACATAGTTCGACCTTTCCAAACATCTCCCTGGTTCATGTCTTCTCAGTATACTGATTGGCTAGACTGGCTGACCAGGGATCTGCCTGCCTCTGCTCCTCCCAGCGCTTGGGTTAGAGATGTATGTGACCACACACAACTGCCACATTGGTGCTGGGAACCCAAATGCAGGTCCCCATGCTTCCATGGCAGGCACTTTGCCAACCAAGCCATCCTTCCAGCCCCTCTGCTGCATTTTAAACCTATCCAGGAATAATAATTGACTCATCGAGACCGGCTCCTCTTAGTCTCATGGCCATGTTTTTGTTCAAGCAGCTCTCAAAGCTGCCTTTAGTTCCAATCCTCCTCCCCCAGTGACGGGAGCTTGGCTTTCTCTTTTGTTCTTGCCTTTAATTTATAAATAGAATTTTTATTGTATATTATTTTTACCGCAGAATTTAGTGTTATTGTGTGTTAGTTATAATCAAAGGCGATATTTTCCCCAGTCATTTGCTGTCGTCGTCGTTTAAGTGAATTCCCCAAATAACTCAACTCCATAAAGCTTAAACTTGCTTTTGCATTTGAATCATTTTGCATACATACACACACAAAAAAAAAGCCTTTTGAAAGGCATTCAATATTTTTCTCCCTCTTGAAATAGCACGCACAGAACATCCTTTAACCTTTCTCTGACTCAGGCGCTGATTGAAAGCATCTGTTATTGTACTGGTTCATGGTACAAAGATGCCCGGATACTAGATGGCTCCAGATGCTTTTTCTGTCATATAGTCTTCTGCCTCGTCTGCAACCAGCTGCCACTACTTGCTCCTGATCCAGCTCTGGAAGCTCTTCCCTCATCAACCCCCTTAATTCACAGCTCCTAATAATCTAGGAAATCAGCCAACGAACTTGTTAGCATTTGTGATAAAAATAACTAGACCCCAAGGATCTCAAAAATAAACTGAATTAATTTAATGGTACCTTTTTGCACACTTCAGTGCCTCTTTTTTTCCCCCTGGTTCTGTTTGCTAAAGATTATTTCTTGACAAGGTACTGCCTTCTATGTATACCCCATATGCTTGTCAGTAAAATAATATGCATTATGCATAAATATATGCAAATGCATTTGTTTGTTTATTTGGGTTTT